CCTGCTGAAAAAGCCAACAAATAATGAGGGAATGAGTTTCCAAGAATGAAGCAGGTGAAGACTGGCTGAAACAACAAAATTTTCTCCAGACTAGGCCACTGGGAAGAACTATAAAGTGCTAAGTGCACTACCCTTACACATCCCTTGGGAAGAATGGGAAGAGAATCTGGCAGACATGTCCTACACAGGTACTGGCAGCACATCAAAGATCTGACCCTGAATGGTTGAGCAAGCCTCCAACAAAAACCAGAAGATCATGAGATTATGTATAGTCCTTTATTTTAAATCTACAACTATTTATATTGTGAAACCTCCTGAGTACTATATTTAGTCTTCATGACAGTGTTTGTACAAACACCAGAATAAGGGCTACTAAAATGTCACTGAAACATGAACAAGTCTACCCATCACTGGGAGCATGACTCAACTAGTCTGTCTTCTGCAGTCACCAGGTATTTAAGAGACCTGTTGACAGACCTAGGAGAACCTTAATTAATTTTACTTTTATTTCCTTGCAGAGATCCTACATCAGGATATGCAGCTATACCAAGAGGAAAAGTGATATTCTGTTCACAGAGATATTTCAGCAGCCTAAGAGAAGACACATCTCACTTAACTGTGTCCCTTCTTTGCTAGGGAAGTTTGCCATTACTGCTATAATGAGAATCTCCCAGAAAGACTCTGGATAGAAAGATGGTCCATATAACATAGTTTAAATGTGAGGGGAAACCAGAATTTGCTTAAGCCACAAAGCTCTTAGGAGTAAACCAAATCTGCCTTTTCTGATACCAGAAAAGACCACGGGACAAACTGCTATTCTTCAACAAAAACATTACAATGCTCAGATTAGCAGTTCTTTAAAAATATAGCAATGCCTTTTTAAAACTGTATTTTGTCATATCTCCAAGCTGGTCTCTACAGGGCCACTGCAACATTTCTGTGGGACAACTCCTTAGGGATTTCTCAGGAATACTATTGACAGTTTCTGCATTGTGCTTAAACAAGAGCAAAAACTATTTTAAGGAAATCCAAGGAAGTTTGAGAATTCAATCAGTACAAATTTAAATAGTCCCCTGGCTACAGAAGAATGGCTCAGCACTAGCTTACTGCTGACACAACTGACTGGCAGAGCCCAGCCGAAATCAAGGTAACAACACTTGCATTGTGCTGTGCTTGGGCTAACAAGCCATCCTGGTTCTGTGCAGGCTCCAGGCTTGAAGCAGGATATTTCCTCAAGTTTCCAAATGCCTGTGTTTTAATATTGCGTAAGAGTGGCAAATCCCAGCACAAAACTGATGTATAATTTAGCTTATTTGAAAGATTCAGAGGATTTAAAACTGTATAAAATTCAATATACTCTTCATTCACCATCAGGTGGATTTTGTTAATTAAGGATCACTAGATCTACTTCATAAACTAGATCTTAGACAAGAGTTCAACAACCAGGTACAGATGACCTGGTGCACATCTGCATTCTTATTTCACAACACTGAAATCTGAGAAAAAGCCTAATGACATATCAGCAAACAATGAGAAAAAGTTATCATATTGAAAGTTTCCAATTACACCTTGGTCTTAACACTGCTTTTGCTGAAAATCAATGTGATACGTAATCACCTTGCACTTAATCAATTCACCTAACTCCAAATGGCAACACACCTGGGGCAATAAGCTGCTATCTCTATCATTTCTGAAAACCCAGAAAGTTTTAATACTCAGCCACAATCTTAATTTTTAGCCCATCTGGGCTTAGTCTATACTGTTCCTTCTAAATTGAGATTTGTAAACAAATTAAAGCTTTCAAAGGACCACGTTAAGGCGTTAGCTATGCCTAGCCAAAAGGATGTTAAGTCCAATCTAAATGCAGAAGGTTTTGACATTCCAGCCACACTGGCCAGAGGCATTTGAAACAAACCCCAAAACAGTGTGCTACCAAAAATGTTAGCACATTAGAGTTTAGCTAAAAAGAAAACCTCAGTAAGGGTGCACACACTGTTTTGCCCAGGAACCCTAACAAGCTGCCCAGGGAAAATATTTTACCTTTCCAATCCAAGCTGTACCTTTGAGTTTGTGAATTCTTCTGTGAGAACACAACTATGTTGATCAAATTTTAAGTGCAAACGGGTCCTACACACTAGCTATAGGCTATTAAGAGTGAACCTCAACCAGATGTCCAGGTATGTCTTTATACTGCGAGAACTCCAAATGATGCCTTGGGAAAAAACAGCAAGTGAAGGGACAAGGCCTGTCATGTCAAAGGGGCAACTCTGACATCAGGGTATGTTCCCAAACCCACTGGACTGATATAAAAGTTGGTTTAATCACAGGATGAAAAGCTGAGGGAGTAAAAATGGTGGTAAATTTCTCTGGGGAGAGGGGCCAAAAAATGGCACGTGCATGCAGGGGACACCAGAAACCTTTACTGTGTTTAAGTGCAAAAAGGCAGAGAAAGTGTTGACTGTCAGGTGTACAGTCTATAGCCTTCAGTTCCTGCCCTGCAGCTGGCAATTTTCAGCTTAAACTATGTTTCAATACATATCCTGTTTCTCAGAACTGGATGAGAGATGGAATGCTGGGAGCCAGGACACAGGTATTTACCACAGGATAGATCACTTCCTAATGCTACGATCTTTTTCCTATCCTTTCTACACTTATTTTTACTTAACCAATAAAGTTAAGTAACCTGCACTGCTTCCCAGTCCATGTGAATTATCAGCATCTTCCATGGAAGAGGAACTCCTACCAAACCTAGTGTTCTTAGCTCACCCTAGCGCTCTTGCTATCACACACTGGCTGGTTGGTACTGTGTGGGTTAAACAGAAAAGGATTTCAAGTTCTTAGTACTATAGTAAAGTATTTAAAGAAAAACTATTTAAAGTACTAATCAGCTGATGCCTGGAACTCCAAATTCCAAACACAAAGCAGAACAGCAGCAATGTACCTTTGAAATAAAGTAACGAAATGAATCAAAATAAGTTGCTTACACTGCTGACTTGGATCGGAATCCGTGGTCATCTTCACATAGTTTGAGGGGAAGAGACCTGTCACACCACTGATTTCTCCTTGCCACCAGTCAGCATCATCTTTGTTCAGGACATTAATCAGCTGCCCCTTGGAGAAACTGAGCTCATCCTCATTGTTTGCCGTGTAATCGTACATGGCTATGACCTGACACACTGCAAAGAACAAAACACAGCAGAATAGAGTTACACAAGTATTAAGGCTGCTTTTTTTCAATGTTTTACATAACCACAGGAAAGAAACAACAATTTCACATACACTGTTACATAAGAAAAATGCCACATGATCTTATCTCATTGTGGAACTGTCCTCCCTTTTGTTTTACTACTTTTTACATTGAGCCAGCCAGTAATTTTTATTTCCACTTTATATATCTATGCACTTACATAATGAAGGGATTGAGTTAGTATAGCATCTATTGACCTGCTAAACACTTAAAAATATAATCAAGTATGCTTCTATTTCTTTTACTGGCTGAAAAGAATTATCTTATAGCTGATACTTGTGATTAAAATGTGGCAAAAGAAGAGGAAATGTGCATTAGCTAATCGTGGGCTATGGGTTTAGTCTCAGGGAAGTTCTGTCCAGTAACACCTAGGAAACTATCATATAAGCAAATCATAGCCATGGAGAACAGCACGATTTAAGCATGCAGAACCAAAAAAAAAAGCTCCTTTTCTGTGAAATAATCTCATTGTAGCCAACCACTCAAATGGAAAAATCGAGTGAAAATTTGCTGTTTAGTCTCCCTCCTTATAAGGAGCAGTGCATGTAAATCCAAGTTGTTTGTCAATGATTACTAGCTCTTTGTAAAATTTTGGCTAGCACTTGAAAACATGGAGTTTGCAAATGAGGAGAGTGTGGCTCTTCAGTGCATTCAGCAAAATATAAAAGCTCTTCCCATAGAGTATGGACACTGACCCTCACAGGTTCCTGAACACAGACGTCTGCATCACAGAGACTTTCGGCTATGAGGTATGTAGAAAAATGTGTGTAAGGGCCCTATGAAGAACTGTTTTGATTACAAAGTTGTGAGACTTTACCCTTCTTGGACAGAGATAGGAGCTGAATGGACAAGTCTGTCAAAAGGCAGATTCAGACTATAACTTCACCTTCACTGTGACACTGCAATCAGATACAGACATACATTGGGTTTGCATGCGCAGGTTTTGGTAGCAGCAGGGAGGGTCCTAGAGTGGGTTCTGTGAGAAGCCAATGCCAGTGGTTCCAAGAGTTATCTACTGCTGGCCAAGGCTGAGCCCATCAGTGACAAAGTGGGAGCTCCTCTGGGATAAATGAGTTAAGAACTGGGGAAAATAACCTGCACCACTGCAGCCAGAGACACAGGTGAGAATGTGCGAGAGTAACAGCCCTGCAGACACCAAGGTCAGTGAAGCAGGAGGGGCAGGAGGTGCTCCAGGCACTGGAGCAAAGATTCCTCTGCAACTTGTGGTGCAGACCATGGTGAGGCAGGTTGTGCCCTTGCAGCACACTGAAGGTCCAGTGTAGCAGAGATCCACCTGCAGCTGTGGAGGATCCCACACCAGAGCAAGGGCACATGGCCTGAAGGAGGATCTCATCTCATGGGAAGCCCATGCTGGAGCGTGTTTGCTGGCAGGACTTGTGACCCCATGGGGGATCTTTGCTAGAGCAGCCTCCTCCTGAAGTACAGCACCCCGTGGGAGGGATTCATGGTGGAGCAATTTGTGAGGAACTGCAGTCCATGGGAAGGACTCAGAGAAGTTTGTGGAGGACTGTCTCCCATGGGAGGGACTCCCACCAAAGCAAGGGAAGAATGTGAGGATTCCTCCCCCTGAGGAGGAAGGAGCAGCAGAGACAATGCATGATGGACTGACCACAGCCCCCATTTCCCATCCCCCTGCGCCTCTGGAGGGAAAGAAGCAGAAGAAACTGGGAGTGAAGTTGAGCCTGAAAAGAAGGAAGGTGTGTGGTGGGAAGGTGCTTTAAGAGTCAGTTTGATTTTCACTACCCTACTCTGATTTGATTGGTAATAAATTAAACTCGTTTCCCTTAGTTGGGTCAGTTTTGCCCATGACAGTCACTGGTAAGTGATCTCTCCCTGCCCTTATCTCAACCCATGAGCCTTTCCTTATATTTTCTCTACCCTGCCCACCTGAGGAGGGCAGTGACAGAACAGTTTTGGTGGGCATCTGGGGTCCTGTCAGGGTCAACCCACTGATTTGATTGGTAATAAATTAAACTCGTTTCCCTTAGTTGGGTCAGTTTTGCCCATGACAGTCACTGGTAAGTGATCTCTCCCTGCCCTTATCTCAACCCATGAGCCTTTCCTTATATTTTCTCTACCCTGCCCACCTGAGGAGGGCAGTGACAGAACAGTTTTGGTGGGCATCTGGGGTCCTGTCAGGGTCAACCCACCACAGGCCATTAAACACAGTACCATGTAATTATTATTGTATTTCACAATTACAATTACAAACATTATGTAATCCAGACTAATACCTGAACAATGCACTAGTTACATAAAATACTCTAAATGAAATACAAGGTCTTATTTCACCTGAGGGAGCAGCAGATGTGGTTCTTTCACTGCTTGGACCCAGTAACTTCACATGGCTGGCAGGGAACCATCCTTTCTGTCTCTTTTTCCCTCTTGCCTGTAAATGTTTAACGTGGTTACTACACAACTGAAAAAGCAAATAGTCTACAAACTGGAAAAAATGCAACAAACGTCACACAGTTCTGCCAACAAAAGACAGTAAGTCAGACTTCCAAACACCTATTAAATACTAAATAGATCTGAAAAGGAAAAAAATCTGGCTAAAGGATAATACAACCTAATACTAACGAAGCTGCACCCTAATATGTTCCAACAAAATGTTTGTTCATCCAAAATTTTCAAGTGCAGATTTCAGAGTACAATTCAGTGTAGCACTGAAAATTTGTTCTATGAATATTCCACTTATGCATCGTATCAGGAGCTTCTAAAGGAGAGGTGATGAATTTCTAGACCCAAGGGCT